GGAAGGAGAGAACGCGATGCTGAGATTGATGGACTGGTGCCGACGGAGATTTGTGTTGTTGGTGCCCTGGAGGTGCATAACCATGTAGGCAATCAGTGTACAGACACTGAGATCACGGGCACACACACAGACACATATATGCAGAGAGAGCCCTATTGTGAATGTCCACACTGTCTTTCATAAGCACTTGTTAAGTAACCAAATAACATAGCTTCACACAAGTGGTATAAATATTTATTCATTGGGGGCTGGGGAGATGACTCAGTGAGTAAGAGCACTGGTTGCTCTTGCAGAGGACCCGGGTTCGATTCCCAGCACCCACATGGCGGCTAACAACTGTCCTAACTCCAGTTCCAGGGGATCTGAAGCCCTCTTCTGTCCTCCATGAGTATTGCATGACATGCTGCACCTACCTACATGTAAGCAATACACTCATACACATAAAATAAAAATAATAAGTATTTAAATATTCTCTATCATGGTCAGTGCTGTGAGTAGGGGTGTGAAGAGCTTTCACTGTTCACCTTACTGTCATGCTGTCTACCCCAGAGTACCTTGGATGCTCTAGGCTCTGCAGTGGAGACAGGACTGGAATGTGCGAGGGAAGGACACAAATGGTTTCCACAAGTTCTATGTTCTCCAGAGACCTGCTTCCCCTACGTTCCCTCTGTGCTGACAGCGGAGACGAAACCATCCTGGGTCCTGGAGAAAAAGCGTGTTTCCTGTTTGAAGGCCTTTAACAGAGTAGTTTTCGTTTTATAACAGAGCATCATTAGAAAAGAGGTGTTTTTATTTTTATGAAACTTGCCGCTTCAAAGCTATTGAACATTGCCCATTATTTAACCTCTTTGGGACTTACTTTTTGGATTAAACCAAAGATGATATCCATTTTACAGGATGAAGATGTAAATGCATAATAATAGTGATCAAATTTAGTAGATTTCTTCTCAATTAATAGTATTTGTAATGATATTCAATATAGGGCACTGGGGAGACTCATAAATAATTTATCAGCCCATGCTACAGTTACAAGAGGAGAGTACTGCAGGCTAGAATGGATAATCAATTTGATCAGAGTACATTTTTTCCTCATGAAATGTTTTGCAAGGGCTTTGGGGGGGGGTGGTAGATTCACCCCACTGTGCACCGAGAAGGCAGAGGGATGGCATAAGAACTGTCACCAAACTCAAAGTGACCATCCATCAGCTGAGTCACAACAGGCATGCCTGGGTCTGTGTTACTAAAGAAGACAGCATAATGTCCCATTTCCATATCTTCTGAGATAAAGTATCAGTTGTGATGAATCAGAAAAAGGAGTAGCTGTTAACACAATGCGTGATCATCCACGGAATGGACGAAGAAGGGGACTTGGGGGTTGGCTGTAAGTGAAGAGGAGAGCAGTGACTGTGCTTAGACATGGATCCGTAGCTGCTTGGGCAGGGACTTAGCCACCAAGTGCAGTCCTTTCCTTAACCAACAGCACCTGGGTGGGGAGGGGCTGCTGGACAAATGGACTGGGTGCAGGCTGCTGGTTCTCGCTGTGCCTCCAAGTCAGCTCTATTTCAATGACCAAACATTTCAAAGTTGCTTTATGTGAAAGTTTTTACACCAAATTTGTTTTATTTCTAAAACCATAATCCCAATTCAACCCTGAAGCTTTCAGAGCTCTGTCTCTAAGCCCTGTCCTATGCCAGTGTCTAGCTAAAAGAGGACTGAGCATGGATTTGTTAGAAGGTTAGGGAGAAATTTGAAAACTCCAGTAAGCTGGTGTCGGAGATCACTGACTTGACCACATTGGGACCATTCATCCTCAAATGCCTGACTCAGATTTGAAGCAGCAGGAGTGTCAGCCTTTTGAAATAATATACCTCATGGAAGACACCAAAGGAGACAGAGTATTCATCTATAATTAAAAATTATTTATTAGTTTTATTTTACATGTCTGAGTATGTTGCCTGCATGTATATAAATGCACCCATGTTGTGCAAAGCCCATGGAGGACAGAAGAAGGCATTGGATCCCCTGGAACTGGACTTGGGGGACAGTTGTTAGCTGCCACGTGGGTTCTGGGAACCGAACCTGGGTCTTCTACAAGAGCAGCCAGTGCTCTTGTCAGCTGAGCCGTCTCTCCAACCCTGTTCATCTCTTATTATGTGGACAATTGCCAGAGCCCAAAGGGGAGGTCATCCCACCAGTATGCCGGTGGTAGGTAGTCTTGAAGGCCTAAGCACTCTTAACATCACGATTTAGCTAACTGCACTGATGAAAGACATCTGTTAAACCACTCCTAGGCATCAGCTGTTTCTCTTCACAAAATAAGCATACAATGTGGAAGAGGTGGAAGGCAGGTAAGACACAGGGCAAGTCTCCCTGAACTGCCCCACTTCGTGCAGAGACAGTGCGTTCAGATGTGCTACAAGAAGCATAACGATCCCGTGACTAAAGTGTAGAATTCCCTTCAAAGCTGTTACGTGGTGCTTGTCTCGGTACTGAGAGGCCGGAGTCAGAGGAGTGGGCTCCATGCTTCCAGCAGCCTTTTCTCGGTGATTTGCCAAAACTCCGTAGCCTCTTCCTTTCCTTGCAAGCTTTTCTCCGTGACTGTGCTTAGAATGCCGAGCCCTGTCACAGAGAGCCACAGGGCCGGGAGGACAGAAGGATGAGGATGAGGGCGCAGAGGCCTCCTCTTGGATTCCGCGTTAGCAGGTATAGCCATATGTAGATGTCACATGGAGTAGAAGAATCAGAGTGAGCACAGGGAAGCCTGGAAGGCTTGGTGAGGTGTGGGTGCGTCATCTGAAAATGTTTGATGCTGATGTTAGTCCCTAACACCATCAGAAAAGGAAGGTGTATTCTTTAACTGATTAGAAATGCAGATTGACCAACATAAGAGGCAGCATTGGGTTGGTGTCTCTCTAATCTGAAGTGGTGTGTGGAGTGACGGTACACTGTTCATCCTTATGCAGATTCGGCATGTGGGCTCTTTCTTGGAGCTGCCCTACAGCCCTTCAGGGCTGGGGTGCAATCACTTTGGACTACTCTGTGCTTCTAGCTTGCATCCCTGTGTCTCCATCTCGGAGCTCAGCTCAGGGCCTCTCTCCCAGTTCTGCATGTGAGTCTCAGTTCTGTACCCTCTTCCTCAGGGGATACCTTGGCCTGACAGAGTTGTTCTACCCTCGGGCATAAAAATCCTGGACTAGCCAGAGTTTGTGTCCCCTCAGTCTGGCCCGCAGCCAGTATCTTACTGGACTGGTGTTTGGAAACCGAGCTCCCTCTAAGTTCCCTAAACCCTAGGCTTTGGAAGTCTCCACGGGAGCAGGCTGAGCTTTGCTTGAAATAGCTCATCGATTGACAGCCTTCCTTCCTCGCCCGGCTTCCCCATTCCCTAATGACTTTTTCCTGGGGCTCCTTTCTATATGTCATCTGCACCCAGAGCTGCTTCTCAGTGTCTTGCCTACTGGGAACTCCAAGAAAGGCAATATCTTCTTTATATACACAACTACACACACACACATCTACACACAAACATCCTACACATATATACATGTGCACATAGACACATCACCTAAAAACATTTATTTAATCCCTACCTACTCTATAAATGCAGATCTTACCATACCCAGAGATCAGTGTTCGAGGCTGGTAGGTCTTATAGTAGATTAGGAAATCACATTATTACCATGACTACACATGATAATAAGTGAATATATGTACTTTAAACAGCAAGGTATTACATTTTGGCTGACTAAATAGTGATCAGAGACTGACCACAAAACGTCTAGGCACTTGTGTGCTGGGTTCCACCCCTTCCCAAAGTTTACTTAGACTTGCACATCTCAATAAATTCCTAATATAAAAAAGCAAAAAGTATTAGTTTAAAATTTCAGTAACAAAGTAGATATTTATAAAGGCTTTCTAGTTAAACGATGTTCACAAAGCAAAGCAAAACATTGGAGTTGGTTTTCAGTTAAATGTAGCTATTAAAAACCTTTAAGCTCACGAGCCGAGTGTGGTAGCAATACCCTGTGACGCAGCACTTGTAAGGAGAGAGGAAACAGGAGGCTCTGGAGTGCGAAGGCTGTTGGGGTTACAGAGTGAGACCCCGCCCCAAACAAAACCAAACCAAACACCAAACCCAAACACAGATCAAAACAAGAACAAAACATTTGTGGTGTGTATTTTTTTTTTTTTCTTTGTCATGACAGTAAGGTAGGGAGTAAAGGAAAATAGTAAAAGAACTTGAATGGATATTTGTTAGAAACCTACGAAGTGGTAGGTGAATACAAGGGAACTGTTCTCCCAACACAGCTTATAGCAGCTGGGACAGTATCACCAGACCTGTGCAAGTCCAAATCAGACAGAATCCCAGCTTGGAGCAGAGAGATGTGTAGGAAGCCCCAGCCCGGCCTGAAGGAAGGCTGGGGATTGGCCTCTGGCGGAGGCAGAGTAAGCTTTCTTTAAGGGTGTGATGCCAGGTAGGGTGTGACCAGGCTCCAGGGGACGGACTCACACTGAGGAACATTCGCAAAACACAACTTAGACTCTGGAGACCTTAAGAAAATAACGGAGGACATGAAGCCAGGGGTTTATGGAGGAAGGGGTATCTGAGAGGAGGTGAATATGATCAGTGTACTTTGTATAAAGTTCTCCAGGAATCCAATCAAATCGGATTTTTAAAATGTAGAATGAGGGGTTGGAGAGAAAGCTTAGCTGTTAAAAGCACTGGCTGCTCTTGCAGAGGACCCCGGTTCTGTTCCCAGCACTTACATGGCAAAAAACAAACAAACAAAAAATCCCCTTGACTTCAGTTCCAGGGATCTGACGCCCTCTTTTGGCCTTCACAGGCATTGCATATATGTGTACACTTAGGTACGTGCTGACAAAACACTCATACACATAAAACTAAATAAAAAAATGTACTATGATTAATTCTCAGCAAAGTTCCATAAGTAAGCCAATGAGTTTAGTGCATAATGTTGATGTCATCACTTTATATTTGGCAGATATTAAAAGTGCCTCATCAAACTCATCTAGAAGTCACTCCTACTCCAGCGAAAGTGATGACGACTCTGCCCAGGGCAGCGGGGTAACCCTCTCTGCAAGCAGCACAGGCAGCAGCCCCAGATGTTCCTCTTCTCCAGAGCTGCATGGAATCACTGACCCAGGGAGGTCCCACCTTCCAGCTGGCCATTCCCTTGAAGCCAAGATGGACAAGCAGGAAGTGACAGCGGACCATGTGGAGAACAGGCCTCTGCTGCCAGAGGAGAGCCACGAGTGTGATCCGGAGGAAGGCAGGAAGAAGGGGAGCCAAGTGACTGCAGAGAGTGGACCTGCGAAGTCCAGGAAGCCTGCTGGTCAGCGGGCGAAGGGCAAGGTGGTGGACAGAGACGAGGGTCTCCCTGGGGTGGAGGACGGTGGTAAGTACGGCCACTGAGGTGACGTGCGGTGTCCTGTGTGTGCAAAGCTGCCTTGGTCACTGCTTCCTGGCAAAGCAGGGGGTCTGTCACTTGATGAGGCTGGACGTATTCCGTGTTCCCGTCTCCTCCTCACATCATTTTACCTGTATTTTCAGCTCACCTCCTTTTGTTGCATTTAAAACGACTTGCTCATTCTTACATAGCCTGTTTCCTATTTTCTGTAAACTCCTTCCCGTGATAACTCTATCCCAAGAATCAAATAAAACACAACACATGTCTGAAGGCAAAGGTACGTGTCGCTTCTTAGAGGCTGATCCCAACATTGCTATTTGTTCTTCATTAGATATCCATTTCTATATCCATAGCTTATGCGGGTAGATGCTTATTGTGTCCTATACATGACTGTAAATCAGTTATAAACTTACTGCCTTTCATAATTCTTCAATCTCGCCACGAGCTGAGGCCTTTTGTCACTGTCTCCTCTCTACAGGTGAACAAGCTGTGTCCTGGGGCGGTTAAGTTGCCAAGGCTGGTTCGGCTGAGGGTTAACTTGGCATTTGGGTTCAGGCCAAGTGGGTCCCGACTTTCCTTCCTCTTGTATCTGTGTGATGCAATTTAGATTTAGATAGAAATATGAAAGTCTCCTAAACAATTCCACTCTTCTCTGAGGGAGTTCTTTTCTGAAACTAAATTCTTTCATGATCCCTGGGCTTGTCCTTGGTATGGAAGAATGTCCTGTTTGATGTAGGAAGAATCAGCATGTCTGCCACAGTCCCTGCGGCCCTAGAGGCACGGAAGACGGCACAACTCTTGCCTTCGAGAAGACAAGGAAGGCACCAAGCTGTGTCTGTGGATAGGTGAATTGTGCCTGCCAGATACCTGCTTCTCACAGAGAATCCTGTGCCCTCCCATCAGGTTTCCAACCACCCACCCTCCTGCCTTCCCAGCCACAACAGTATGTCGGGCATTCTTCTGGATTCCAAGATAAAATTTGTTTCACATTTTAATATTATGAAAGCCCAGATGCATTTTAAATGCTTTTAATACATATGATTTTTCAGCCCTGAAAAGCTATTATTAAACCACTTGAACCTACATCTAGGAATGGAGGATTTTCAGACATTAATGTAACCGTACTATGTGCATGGTACCATAGTAAAAAACAATTGTGTAACATCATAAGATGTTAAGAAGACTTGGCACATTGATAACTGGCCAAAGATCAGTAATTATATATAAAACCAAGGAAGGCCCAAAATGCTATATGTGGAATTTCAGAGAAGTGTCATATGGCTAAGGTCACCTTGAAAGTGTTCATGGAAAAAACATTTGAGAATGACTTTAAGGTCAGATATAGTTTTGAAGGTGGGATACAGGACAGTGAAAGCATTCCATAGAGTGTTGCCTAGGAAAGGACATGACCTTCAAGAAAGTTATCCAAATTACATTTTTAAATGGGCCTATAAAACCTTAGAAATTTAGTTACCTAGTGCTTTAAGGAAAAAGTTAATCTCTGCCCTAGAATTATACCACAAAGACTATCAACCTTTTCAAAATCATTTTGACTTACTGGAATTAAAAATCTTACTAAAATATGTTTGAAACACGGATAAGAATAATTCAAATATCTGGGGCTGGAGAGATGACACAGCAGTTAAGAGCACTGGCTGTTATTGCAGAGGATCCTGGTTCAAATCCCAGCACCCATATGGTGGCTAACTTTAGTTCCAGAGGATCCAATGCTGTTTCTCATCTTCACAGGCAATGCATGATATGGGTGCACTTACATACATGTGGCAACACGCTCATACACATAAAATAAAAATAACTAAAATTTTAAAAAATCGATCTTGGAGTTAATCATTAAGTTCTGACATATTATGATATCTAGGAAATTTACATCAGTTAGCAAGTTCTTTAAACATATTTAAGCAACGCATGAAGGCAACAGACATGAAGATGTGGGCTGGGCACATAGCTCAGTTGTGCTGCGCATGCCTAGCACCTGCAAGGCCCTGGGTTTGAGATCCAGCATGAGAGATAAGGAGATGGGCTACAATAGTGACACTGATGTCGCTATTATTTTTACTCCAGAAAACTAGATTTTTAATTTAAGTTAGCATGTAAAGTAATGGTCTCATGTCATTTGCATGCATAACTATTTGTGGATCCTCCCCCCTTTCTCCCTCATCTCTCGCGCTCCCCTGAGCCCTTGCAACCCCAGGAGCCCCTTTTTGCTTTCATGGTACAGATGTTCTGTCACTGTCCCCAGCTGCCTCAAGGTCTTTTACCCTGTGCGGCTCCCTTGGCTGTTTCATGACCTATATCCACACTTACACCTACACATTTACACACATTTTTGCTTGATTTACTGCAATTCAAAACAAAGTATCAATAGGGTGCTTTGGAATTAAAAAATGTGTTGTAAGTTCTTTTAAGATAAATAATACACACACACACACACACACATGTGAATGTTGAGGGGTGAAGGGAGTGTTAACATTAGGGGCAGCAACTGCATCAGTCAGGACGGATTTCAGTTGACTAAGAAATCAGATAACATCAAATAAATAAGGCTCTTAATCTTTGCATGTTTTTGCTGCCCTGCTGGGGAAAGTTCAGCTTGGAATTCCATACATGTGGTGGAAGATCCTGACAGTTTAGTAGACTCTATATTCTCAGGAAATCTAAAACTATCCCAGAAACCCTCACCATTCTGTGGCCCATAATAGAGTCATATACTATACATAGCAGAAGGTTATATGGAACCTCTATATTTTCTAAAATGAGAAAGAAGGTTATCTCAAATGAACTAGGGATTTGTTAGTAACTCAGCAATCGCATGTACATATATCTCAAAATTATTTCATATATAAACAGCACATATATATATGAGAATATCTATCCATTATTCTTTGTATATATATGTACACACACATACACACATGTACACACATGTATACTTAATTCTTTCAAGGATGGTATATATATTAATACAATAAATAAGATTATAATTAGATAAGTGTTCTGACCTTAATATCATTGCCATAATAAAATAGAACAAAATTCATGGCTTGAGATAGCTTGTTTATTATAAACTCTTTCTTGAGGTGAGAAATCAGAAGACTTACAGAACTAAAACTAATGTCAGAAAAACTACATTGTTTCCGAGTGCTTCGAAGGAAGTGCAGTCCTATCCCTCCTGCCTTTGCAAGCTCACCTGCGTCCCTCCCAACAGTTCCATCTCAAAGCTGTACCATCTCAAGAGCTGCCTTTTCTCAGACTCCTCCTGTGGTCACATCTCCCCTAACTCCCAGCCCTCTGCCTCTGCCTCATATGCATGTGGGAACATACTAGGTCTGCCTGCAAAATTGATTATAAATTCCTCACGTCAAGGGACTTTATCGCACGTGCAAAGCCTTTTTTTTTTTTTTTTGCCATGCAAGGTAAGACTCCTAGGTTTGGAGGGTAAGGATATGACATTTTAAGGAAGGAGTACCATTCAACCACACATTTCAAACCAACAAAGAATGCCTGAGTCATGTAACATGGGCAAAAGGTATCAATCCAAAGTCATATTTACAGAAAATAAATTATTCATCATGTAACAGCATGTACTAAAATAAATGACAGAAAGGAAAAATATTTGTGATATTTGAAGTCTAGATCTTTTTCTAGATTTTTATGTGGATTTATAAAAGTAAACAGGTCTGTAAATAAGGGGTTACCTGAAAAAGATTTTCTTATATTTTAATATTTTTTTATTTTTATGTAAATGAGTGTATTGCCTGCATGTCTGTAAGTGCATCCATGTTGTGAAATGCTTACAGAGAGCAGAAGAGGGTGTCAAATCCCTTGGAACTGGAGTTACAGATGGTTGTTAGTTCCCAGTGCTGGGAATCGAACCCAGGACCTCACAAGAGCAGTCAGTGCTCTTAACCTCTGAGCCATCTCTCCAGCCCCACATAAGGCAGATAATTTGCTGGTGGATAGAATAACGGAGATGTTCCACATGTGGCCTGAAAGTCAGTAGTCTTTGACCCTCAGATTGGAGGGCTGATAAGTAATTTATTCATTAGTTCCTGCAAATGCATTGGAAAATCTATACTTTTGACTTGATATCTATGATTTCAAAAACACTTATCTTTCATTAATATGGATTTGACGCTCAGTGGGGAGGGATGAGGCTGTAATCTCTTTAAGGCTCTTAATGGGATAAGCTGTGATTACTGCTTATTTTCGCTAACATTTAATGATATACATAGAATAATATCTAGAAACTAGAACAAGGTAGTTTTTAAAAATTACTCATACATTTATCACACAAAAGTCACATTAAGTATTTGGTCAGCTTTTAACTTTTCACAAACCACCAACTTACAGAGCCGTGTTTCTATGCCATGTCTACTTTATTTCTTTATAACATCACTATCATTTTCCATGTTACTTTGTGACCTCAGAGAGCATGGAATGTCTGCGTATGGTCCTGTCATCTTCTCACAGTTCAACCTTGTTGGAAATTTATATTTTCCCATTTTCACCATGATTTCTTTTTCATATTTTCCTAGTCCCACTGTGATTGTAGGACTTTAATGTTTTATTACATAATTTACTTCAAATTTAGAATAAGTTCTCAAGATAGGTTCTAGAAAGTATAATTTGTGGACCATAAGTTACAGATAATTTATGAGCCTTTAAAAATATTTTTATAGCTTTTAATTTTGGGGTGTATGAGTGCATTGTTTGCATGTGTGTAAGTGCACCCATGTCATGTAATGCCCACAGAGGTCAGAAGAGGGCGTTGGATCCCCTGGAACTGGAGTTATGGACAGTTGTTAGCTGCCATGTGGGTGCTGGGAACCCAACCTGGGTCCCCTTGCAAGCAGTCAGTGCTCTTAACTGCTGAGCCATCTCTCCAGCCTCATGTTACGAGTATCAATAATTTTTTTTCTCCCTCAAAAAAAAATTGATCAAGAGTTTCACATTACAGAAAAGAACAG